TTAGGGTTTAGGGTTTAGTAAGGAAACCATGCAATTTACTATCTACGGACCCCGATTAGGTGAACCTGAAATGATTTCCTGAACAAGAGCCCACAAGCAACGTGGATCAACAGCTTTCGCCCCCGGTAGGGGCGGGTCTAAACCCTAAACCCTAAGCCCTAAGCCATAAACCCCAAGCCCTAAACCCTAAACCCTAAACCCTAAGCCCTAAACCCTAAACCCTAGACTTGAATTGAATTAGTTGCGAGGCACCCATGACCTTGGCAAGCTGAAGCCCTGAATAACCACTGGGAGGTGTGGGGCTACGTGGACCCAATGTATCCGCAATAATACCGATGATGCTAGTAACAAGAAAACTTAACGATAACAAGAATTTTGACAGTAATGCTGGTAAGAACGATGATGGTAGTCATAAGATTCATACCAGATTGTTGACAATAGTTACGAACAAGAACCATGATGGTAGTCATAAGATTCATACCGAAGATAGTGCTTCCCAAGAACTCGAGAACCATCTCGCTGGTGTCCTGCCAGCTGCCCCTCACCCGACATCCGGACGAAGGAGCTCCAAACAACACAAAAGCCACCCCGAAGCGGCCTCGAAACTCTGCCACAGGGTTGAGGGTTTAGGGCTTTAGGGCTTTAAGGCTTTAGGGTTGAGGGTTTTAGGGTTTAAGCTTTAAGGACTTAAAAATCTGGCGCCAAAGAGCTCTGTCTTGCGACTGCGGGCCAAGGCCGTGTCCACGAACCGTCGGGGTGGCTCCTTTCCTCGTCCAGAGGCCCAAAGTTGCATAGGGCTTGAAGCTTAAATATTGCAACTGAAGACTTAGAGTTACCTGGTCCAAGTTTTTTAACATGCATGCATAGATCGTTTCCGGTTTTGAATATTATTAAGGGCTTCGGGCTTTCAGTTGAGAGTTTGTCGTTTGGGTGTTGGATTTGAGCCTATGTAGCAAATTTTGCGGACTCCTGACTCCTCCTGCGTGTCAAACGCCCGCGCTTCGCGATCACATGAACAATCTAGAGTCTTAGGACAGTCAGTGGGCCCTGTGCAGGAGGCATTGCGGAGGGTTCTTCGGGCTTTGCGCCTTGGGGTTCTGAATTAACAAGCTGTGGTTCTTAAACGTTATCATCATCAGCAGCAACATCAGCAGCCTGAACACTAAAACCCTAAACCCTAAACACGATATCGCGGACATCACCTGAATCGGCATGGGGAAGAACGGTTCGTTGTCCAAGCCTCCCAGGCTTGCCTGGGGAAACGCGCCTTTGAAGCCTGAAAGCGCTTCAAAAGAATGGGTTTGGGGCTTAGGGTTTAGGGTTTAGGGCTTAGAGCTTAGGGCTTAGGGCTTAGGGCTTAGGGTTTAAGGTAATATTCAATGTTACAAATCCCACTTCGCCCGCACGACCCAGAACCGAGAAACTTCTATGTGAGCCGCAAGACCATCGAAATACGGTTTAGGGTTTAGGGTTTAGTCTTTAGGGTTTATAGGGTTTAGGGTTTAGGGTTTAGTCTTTAGGGTTGGGTTTAGGGTTTGGGGTTGAGTCTTCAGGGCTTATAGGGTTTAGGGTTTAGGGTCCACACAAGATCCCACCTGCGAACAATTCCCCCAAACCCTAAACCCTAAACCCTCGAAGCCTTGACTCCTAAACCCTAAAAACCCTAAACCCTAAACCCTAAACCCTAAACCCTAAAAACCCTAAACCCGATGTTCATTTTCAAGGAACCCCTTGAAGAAACCCTACACACTACGTTCTTTTTCAAGGAACTTAAAGAAACCCCACACCCCATGTTCTTTTTCAAGGAACCTTTAAAGAAACCCCGCCAGGATGCCCCCCAAACTCCCCTCCTCAAGGCCTCGCCCTCTCTCTAAGTTTGAAACCATGGGCCCCGCCCCAGTCCGTGAGGGTTTAGGGTTTAGGGTTTAGGGTTTAGGGTTTAGGGTTTAGGGTTTAGGGTCTGGGGTTTAGGGTTTAGGGTTTAGGGTTTGAAACCATGGGCCCCTAGTAAGGGTGGGATACTTAAGAACCTACTATATGCCCTATATGTACCCTTAAGAGTCCTCAGAAAGGCCTCAGGGACCATACTAGGGGCCCATACTTCTAACCTTAGTACCCTAAACCCTAAACCCTAAACCCTAAACCCTAAACCCTGAACTCTAAACCCTAAACCTTAAACCCTGAACCCTAAACCAACCTGAAGGACTCGCCCTAACTCTCAGCCCCCTGCTGTATTCATCGCGAGGGCCTTGCAGGACTTCAATTGAGGGCTCCCGGGACTGGGTTTAGGGTTGAGGGTTTTGGGTGGAGGGTTTAGGGTTCAGGGTTGAGGGCTTAGGGTTTAGGGTTGAGGGTTGAGGGTTGAGGGTTTAGGGTTTAGGGTTTAGGGCTTAGGGTTTAGGGTGTGGGCTTTAGGGCCTGGGCTCCCGGGACTCCCGACTACTTATGAACCCCCCTTTCGTCTCTCTAGTGAATCAGTGAAGACGTGCGTTAGCATGCCTTACGGGATGTGGGCTGCACGTAGGACGTAGGGTTGAGGCGATTGAAACCCAAACCCCGACTTGGAGGGTCAGGGGACTTAGTAAGTAGATATCAAGTAGAGTTCTAAGTACCTTAAAGGGATCCTAACTGGGGTTATGATACTTTTAAGTCAAGAAAATAGCTAGTTACTAACCCTAAACCCTAAACCCTTAACCCTTAACCCTTAACCCTAAACCCTATACCCTAAACCCTAAACCCTAAGACTGTAGGCCGGGTCCGTACTTCGGGGTCTAAGCTTTGATGATTTGAAAAACGCAGAACCCTGGGGGCCCCAGGGCCGTTTTAGGGTCTTTAGTTTAGGGTTTAGGGTTTAGGGTTTAGGGTTTAGGGTTTAGGGTTTGGGGTTGCCAAGGGCATAGGGTCTCTTTAGGGCTTACTTTCAGGGTGTAAGGCTAAAGGCAATGGTAGCGACAGGCGCAGAAATGACAGCTCCTCGCAAGAAGAACCTTTAAACGTTACACCTTCTAAACCCTAAGTCGTGCACCCTTAACCCTTAACCCTACGCCCTACACCCTGCACCGTAAGCCTTAAACCCTAAACCCTAAACCCAAAGCCCTGCACCTCAGAACCAACACAGGAGTTGTTTGAACTGTCGAGTTTCCTCCCAAGCCCCCCCTTTTTTCGCAAGTTACCTGGCAACATGTCCTTGGGGATCCTACTTGGAGGGTTTAGGGTTTAGGGTTTAGGATTTAGGGTTTAGGGCCGTAAACCCTAAGGTCAGGGACTTAGTAACTGGTCGCTTTTTAGACTTATAAGTCCCATCACTCCAATTAGCTATTGTCTAGACTTATAAGTATCATAACCCCAATTAGGATCCTTTTTAGGGTACTTATAACTTTATTACCGACTTACTAAGTCCCCCGACCCTCCTAGTAATATGATTTAATGTATAGTCCTTACAAAACCTATCAGAAGCCTTATGTTATTCGGGAGAAGGGGCCTTAACATAAAATTTGAGATATATGAGTTTCTCCTTACTCACGTAAGGGGGTCTTGGAATGTCAGGTTTCCTCCCGCGCTCTTCCCCCTTCACACACTTCCCTGGCTTCCAAATTCAACAAAGTCACACTCGCAACCAGAACCCTAAACCCCAAACCCTAAACCCTAAACGCTACACCCTCTAAACCCTGAGCTTAGGGCTCAGGGTTGACCTCTGGACTCTACGAAATCCGCTCAGGGCTGGGAATGGCAGCAAACGACAACATCTTAGCTACACGTCGATGATAAAATCAATGCTTGTCAGAACGGTATTGAAGGGCGAGAAGCCGTGTGCTTCTACTGGGTAATGACAATGAGAATACTACTACTAATTATCATGGTGGGAACTGCCATGATAACTAAACCCTAAACCCTAAACCCTAAACCCTAAACCCTAATCCCAGCAGTGTAGCAAATGTGGCAACTTGCCTGCAAAGGAAGCGGGTCTCTTCGTGGCGGCCAAAGCCAATGCGGTCGCTGGATGACCTGGCGGATGACGGCCCATGAACATAAGTGAAGCGGTTTAGGGTTTAGGGTTTAGGGTTTAGGGTTTAGGGTTTAGGGTTTAGGGTTTAGGGTTGGAACCGCACGTTTCCCAGCAACTATCGTGTGGCTGGACTGGTTGCATGATGGGCCCTCAAACAGCTCTTCCAAACAAGCTTCGCTGAAAACGCAACTGGCAACCTTCGCGTGAAGTAACAGCCCAACTCAATTCCGCAGAACTTGCCTCCAGCTTGTCTCAAAACACTCTAAAATTGGAAAATGCGCCTTCCACCATCTCCAAAACTCAAACTGAACCGAATGACCGTGCTATGCTACGTATGAGGGTGGTGGTCAAAATTATGGTCCCTTTTTGGGTCCTTATTATAATACGGCACCTATTATGTAGGGTACCCCAAAAGGGACCATAATTTTGACAACTACCCATGAGGTAATCGGCCGGTTGTTGGCCATCCACACCTCCAGCTGCAGCATCGGCTGACATCAAAGGACCTCCTGGAAACGGTTTGAAGGGTTTCGCGGTTGCAAAATTTCAGGGCTAAACCCCTACACCCCTAAACCCTAAACCCCTAAACCCCTAAACCCCTAAACCCCTAAACCCTAAAGCCCTAAACCTAAGGAAGCATCGGCGTAAAGCTTGTGGGATCCTTGGCCCAGTGGCTTGAGTGAAGAAAGGCACTTCATGGCGGTTTAGGGTTTAGGGTTTAGGGTCCAACCTCTTCTAGCCCCTACCCCAGACCACCCCGAAAGCTCCCAAATTGAATTTGGGATTCCACGAACCCTACGCACTTTCAGCAAGGAGAAAGGAACCGACCTTCGGCATATTGTTTCCGTGAGACAGCGACCCCATCCTCAGTACAGATTTACAGTGCACACGAATGAAGCAGACGACCTTCGGCAGTCAAAATCCTCACGGCAATCACAAGTGGAAACACAGCTGCAGTAGCATTGAACGGGCAAGCCGCTTCACATTGGGATAAACATTGCGTTCATGAGCCAACATTTAACCTTTTCAGTCCACACACAGTCGTCTTGTGCAAACAACTAAACCAGAATCCCCGCACGGCATCACCACTTGCATTTTCCGAGGCTGCAGCGTAAAATGGAGGACCAGCCATATCATGACATGCCTACGACCTTGAAAAACGAACACATGGAGCCGACATATTGCGGTGGCGGCTCGAACTTGGTATCATCGGACGATGCATTGGATGTAGAACGACAAGCTACTTTGTAAGAGCTCACTTCCCAAATACGCCATGGGAATAAAAGGTTAAACTTTCAGATTGCTACTCAATTATAAGAACCCAACAAGTTTAAAGGTTGGGTATTGGGGAACTAGGTAACAACAAGTACAATTGTACCCCATCAGACCAAACACACCAACATCCCGCAAATGGGGATCTTCTCTAGCATCGCTGGGTACCTGAACCGTATCACCATGATGGCAACCTTGTCACACCAAACAAGACCAAAAAAACATGTCATCAGGCGCTGAAAGATCCTCAGAAAACGCAACTCTCAAGTATGTCTAGCACTTATCAAAGCAGCCAAAGGCCCCTGCAAAACGATACTGTCTCCTGCCACGGACCTTGAGACCGTGGAGAGCTTTCAGGGAGCGTGCAAAGTTCCGTGTGGAAGTCATCATCTCGGCATCATCTCGCCAAGCTCCGTAGGCTGCTGTCATGTTAATAAGATACCATAATTCTCATAGTTTAGGGCCCTTAAGGTCATGCAGGATTAATATCATCAACCGTGTCATGTACTCTTTTGTCGTTGGGTTTTGGGTTTAGGGGTTACGGCTTGGGATTTTGGGGCGAAGGATTGAAGTTCACGGTGCGGGATCATCTTGGCAAATGTTTGTGCCTAGGGTATATGCTACAGACTGCTGCGACACATGAGAAATTTAAGAGAAAAGCTGCCGGGCCCTACTTTAAAAGATGTGCCCGAGAAAAAAGGTGCCTGCTCATGCCACGTCACGGGCTGACACTAGGATTTAGTAATCACGTGGGGAAGGGAGGTCAGATGCAAAAAACAAGAATGATGACATGCGCAGTATGACCACATGCATGAATAGATCTCTGACGCAACTGTTTTTGCACATGATCCCACGGCGTTGTCTGCATGGAAGCGTCGGAAGGGTCCTCAGCAGCACAGAGTCTGCATCGAGCCATTAATCAAAACTGCGGCGCTAAAAATCTTTACGGCTCATCTCACCGATGGAAATAAGCCTTTGAGACAGTGGTGCAGACGCTCGGCATCCAGTTAACGTGATTTGTCCATAATTTGTGGCTTGCGCGGCCCGGGGGCGCGGCATACATAGGCGGCAACGGGCGCCCACTAGGAAGTATCGGCCATTAGGAAGGTGCAGGGGCACGGGCGGCACCAGAGTTATCGACACCGCCACAAGCGAGATGAAAACGAACACAACACTGCCTGGCGGTCACCGCGCAGCACACAGAAACTAACACCCTCCTTTGGTCAACTTTCTCACGCTTGAAGAGTGACCGGACATCATGACGGAGCATTAGACCCTACACCAAGGCAGAGCGCCAAAACTGCACGACCGGCACCAGCTGGAACTGCACCTGCCAACAGACTTCGGAGTGCACTTTGAATTTGGCAGGGCTCCGAAACTCAGACGCGCCGGGTCGAGAAAAGCAAGGCTTGACAGGGGCAATTGTGCATTGGCTGTCAACGGCCTCGCGCCGGTTAACAAGGGCACGGTCGCCGCATTCCGACATTAGGAAGTTGGGCACGAAGGGGTGCAGTGACGGGTCTGTTGCTGCCCATGGACGTCTGCACTCCGGAACAAAAGCAACAGAGGAAGAGAACAGAGGAAGAGAAAAATGTGTGATGCTGCAGTTAGCGCCTTCATAGCTGTGGGAAAGTGGCAACTGCAATGCCCGTGGAGCACATGCACTTAACAACTCAAGAAGCTTCATGGGGACCCTGCGTGTTTGTATCACCAGTGTTTCACGTGAGCGGCTGACTAAACCTATGGTT